ACAGGCTTGAGCAAAGGGAATTACATGAGCAACTGAGCCAAGCAGGCAATTTCCAGTGCCAACAATATGGGAGATAAAATATAGAGAAGGTTTCAGAGTCATTATTTGATGAGTGCACTAAGGCAGGACACGTGTCTGTGTATTCATCCTACAACACGTTTGATTTATATGCAGGTAGGGAATAAATAACAAAAACAAAGGTCTTGAAAAAGCTGAAGACAAGGATAAGCTACAGTGCATAGTGAGCCTGATGTATCTTATGATAAAAATCAACCTTATCTAGCCTTGATTACACAGAATCACTGAATGGTTTGGGTTAGAAGGGGCCTTTAAAGATCATGTAGTCCAACCTCTCTTCCATGGACAGGGACATTTTTCACTAATCATGTTGCTCCAAGCCCCATCCCACTTCACTTCAATGACAGGAAATTGTCAGTCTCTCTGGGCAACCTATTCCATGTCCTACCACTCTCATTATAAAAACTTGTGCCTAATATCCAATCTAAATCCATCCTCTTTGAGATCAAAGCTGTTTTCCCTTGTCCTGTAACTTCAGACTCTGGTTTAAAAAAAAATCAAATATCTCTTTCTTCGTCTTTCTTATAAGCCCCTTTAGGTACTGGAAGGTTGCTGTAAAAACTCCCAGAACCCTTCTCTCCTCCAGGCTGAACAGTCCCAATTCTTGCAGCCTTTCTTCACAGGAGAGGTGCTCTAGCTCTCTGGTCATTTTCATGTCCCTCTAGACCTGTTTCAACAGGTCCATGTATTTAGAAACAATTTTCCCAAATTATTTTTGGCTATTTAATATGATACCATTACAATCTCCTGAACGTGCTGGAAAATTAGCATATGTTCAAAGTCATCCCGTGCATTCTTAGAATGTCATTTGAAAGTTTCACTGGCTTCATGGCCTTCTGTTCAGCCATACCATAACACATATTTTGTACTTTTTTTTTCTGATTCTTCAAAACTGGATTTCAAATTTGGAAGAAAAATGACATCAGAAAAGCAACTAGGTAGAAAAAAGAGAAAATATAAAAACAGGAGAAAGGTTAATTCAGAAAAATACAGGGAAGGAAATGACCAGGTTTGCACCATTGGTAAGTCTTTGCAAACTGACTATTCATCTCCCTTTTCCCTTCAATTTTCTGTCTTACCCTGGAAAAGGGCAGCAAAATAGAAATCTCACTTGCACAAGTATATCATGATATTACATGACTGGGCAATGAGAGGACAGATGAAACTGAACATTAAATTATGCAGAATAATTCAAGTGCTAGAAAAAACACACCAACTGTAGATATAGTGATGGGTTCTGAACTAGGTATTACCATTCAGGAAAGAATTCATAGAGTTACACTATGAAATTTTATGACAACGCCATCTCATTGTTCAGTCACACCGAAAAATAAAAACAAAATACTCTGCAACACAGGAAAGGCAAAAAAGAACTAGGAAATTCCATTATGTCAGGGAATAAATCTGTGGTGTTCTCAGATCATGTGGAGTTCTGGTCTCACCATTTTTAAACATATGTGGAACAAAGAGATACAAAGAGTGACACAGATGATCAAAGGCATTTAAGGACTTCTGAACAGTTTTCAGCCTGAAAAATCTCTTAAGGGCAGATACGGGAAGAGCCTATAAATTCTTAAGCAGAAGGAAGAATCAAATTGTTCACCTGCCTCTTCCAGTACTAGGAAATACCAAACGAAACTAGGAGGTGACAGGTTTGAAATAAGCACAGTTGGTGACACCACTGCTATCACACTGTGGAACTCTGACACAGGACTGTGTCTGCACTCAAAATTTGTATAGGTCCAAAAGGCAATTAAAAAATTCAGAGAAGAATCTTTATGTTAAATACCAAGTAATGCTGTGGGGACAGAAGCCCTTGGACTGCCTACCAGAGAAAGCTGAGAAAATAAGCACATCCAGTTATCACCAGCATTTCTTCTCTTCCACAGAGACAACAACCTAGCCCTAGTAAAACCTCAACTCCCTCCCTGGGAAGGGGAGAGGGGGTTTAGCAAAAACAAAACAAACATGAGAGAAAACAACTAATTGCCAAACAGAACAAAGCAAAATGAAACAAAGTGGAGAGCTTTTGGGTACAGAAATTAAAGAAGTATAAAACTAGGTGACTAAAAGGCAGACAAAGCAGAGCACCTTGGCTGCCAGCCCCAGCCAAAGCCAATGCCAGGACAGTGAGCAGTATCATCTGAGCTGGTAGAGGCCTTCCTGGGTACCCACATACAGTTAGCCGAGAAAAGAGAACATATTTTAGGGTATGACTCAGCAAGCCAATGTGCCTCTATTAGCACAACACTTGAGCATGTGCTTGATATAACCATAAGGTCCATGGAAGTTAATGATGTTAATGTAAAATAAATTTTCCATCAGACAGGCAGAGAAATTTTATGTAGAGCAGAAAGATAAAATCCGAACTTGCTGAAGGGCAAGTTCATCTGAAAAGATGAAATAGAGATAGACCAGAGTGGCACAGACCCAAGAGGGTATGACAGAACAGAAAAACTACAAGGTAGGAATCAATGCTACACAAAGATACAGAGCAAAAGCAGGAGTAGGATATGTATCTAGTGCCTAAGAGGACGCTAAGATCAAGGGAAGGTTCAAACAAACATTCTAGTCTTTATTCCAAGGCATAAACAAAGTTGTAATCTATGACAGAACACACGGATTTGACACAGAACAAAGTAAGTGGGAAAGTGAGCCCTGTGCTATGGGCATGAATGAACAGACAGGGAAATTTGGCAGTAGCAAGTAAGAATGACCATGGAGGCAAAAGTCATTGCCAGAGTTTGTCAGATACTTTCTCAAGAAACTAGTAATATATTAACATGAGGAAGAAGGAGAAAGTTGGGTAGGCTGTGGGGGTTGAAAAATAATGGAAGGTACTGGAGTAGCTATCTAAAAGAATCAAAACTCTTGGAGACTAGTGCTTTCACAACAAAACTGACAACCACCAAAAACTTCTGAAGCTCCTTCTCAAAGGGAACACTTGCAACCATTCTGCCATTTACTATAGATTTTGCAAACACTCTAGGTATTCAAGAGCTGATAAACTGTTCATTTCAAACAAACAAACACAAACTTATTTAAACAATGCTGAAGTTTCCATTTTGAAATCTCCCTATAATTTAAAAGAAAAGTTTAGAGCTTTGAACTGGAACAGAACTTTCAATTCTAGCTGAATGAAACTTATGTAGTAATGTCAGATCGCTTTAACTACTAGACTTTCCAGAATTAATTAAAAATTAAGTTAAATTTTCCCTTTTTTTTTCACATTTCCAAGAAACTAAAAAGATCTTTAACCTGCTATATTTCCATATCTCAAAGATGCTCTTGCAAAAATATAACTCAAACCACCAAGATCACCTTTTCCCAAACTGCACACTACCATGAAATTGGAAGCATGCCTGAGAAGTCAGAAAATTAAGCCTTTTTTTTGGAATAAAAATGATGAAGAGACCATCACAGAAATGCCTTGGGAAATCTCCCTACCATACTGAGAGGATTTCAGCTTACAGACATCTTCAGAACACTGTACAGCTGTGACCAGCAGGGAGGCAGATGGAGAACCAGGGAGACAAAAACGGTGCAGCAAGTAATGTGTGTAGCTCCCATCCTTGCTCGCTAGCAATATCCCAAAGCACTTTTCTTCCCACACCAGCAGATAAATAAAATGGGCATTATTTTGAAGGGATAACCATATGGTTTGTATAATCTGTATATGCTATTTTCAGTACATTATTATAATACATGGTAGAGACCTATAAAATAGGGTCAAACTTGCTTTCTGTTTTACAACCAACATGTTCCATTCTGTACAGACACAGAGGTGAGGACACTGCATCAATGTATTATTTCCACACACTGTCTCTACCTTAATACTCACAGAACAATGTAATTGTTCCATGTGGTGCATATTATTGGGTTCCTGAGCTCAAATAAATATCAGCCTTGTGGATAATTATTTGCTAGTAAATATTTGTTTAAATTGTGAAGTCCTGACTTCTTTTATACATTCCATTTCAGCCTACATGCATCTGTCTGCTTTGTGCCTTCCCAGTGCAGAATGCTGTAATATGTAGCAAAAAAAAATGACAGGACAAAAATGGAAAAATATCAACTACAGGCAAGAAAAATCAACATAAAACTTGAAATCTGTTACTCATAAACTGTGTCCTTTATCTCTGCAACTCCTTCATTCCCTCTCGTCCTTTTATTGATAATGAAGCATCAGAACCCAGAAGCCACTTTTGTTCTAAATTAAGGTATCTGCACTGCTGCAGGAACAATACTGATCAGGGTTTTTGTCTGGATACAGTGCATGCTTTCCAATTTTCACTGTCATTTTTTTTAGCATATACAAAACATTGCAGAAGCACATGTAAATCACCACTCTCTTGCCCAGTGGAACAGAATTTCAGTTACCAATGCCAACGGTTGCCTACAGAAGGCATCTACATCTGGTCTGCTACATCCAAGACAGCAACCACAGGCACACGGTTTGCTTTGTTTGGAATTCATCACTGTGGTGCAGCTGAGCCTCAGATAAAAAAAACAGAACTATGAGCCTCCAGGGTTAAACAGACAAATGTTTTCAGTCACAACAACTTTTTTGGGGAGGAAGCAAAGCCATAACAATGTATGTAAGAGGTTTTATGTAAATCATTAAAGGCCTCCTGACTTAAATTGTTGCTAACACCAAGAAGTTGCTTAATGTACACTTGAGAGTGTGAAGGCAGAACAGATGAATAGTCTCACAAATCTTATTTGCTCAGTTGGAAAAATGCAAAAATATTTGTTAAAAAAAAGAAAAAAAAATCTGATTCCTGCTCACTGCCATTCAAATTTAAAAGTCAAATTAATATTCATGATTTCTGAGTGCATGATGGTTTTTACTGGGAGGCAGAAGGGGCAGATACAATCAGTAAACAAATTTACTTTCAAATCCACACAGAATCAGTACCTACCTAGCCACTCGTTGAATTTTTTTACTTCACTAGGAAGTCCCAGTTCAGTAAAATCACCAGCATGTATTAACACATCTCCATATGGCATTTGGATGGGATCAGTTCTTGAGTGAGTATCAGAAATACAGACAAATCGTGTATATCCTGGAGGTTTGGGAGCGTCATGGGGCACTGGATCAACCCTGTAGGAAATGCATCATAACAAGGTTATAAAGTATTTACGTACTTCTTGGTGTCTGCTTTGCAATTCCAATACTATTTTTTACCTTTACAAAAGATTACACAGACTTCTAAATCTGCCTGATGGAAGGATTTATTAAAACAAACCTAACACTAATGGGAGGTGTAAAAATTCTTGATGTTCACATCACAACATTTCCATATTTGCTGGGTAGATAGATTAGTTTAAAGAGATTAAGGAAAAGAGATTGGACTATGGCAGTAACTCTGACACAAATACTTACAAATAAATCAAAGGCATTGCCAGTTTCAAAGGAGCAGCACTATCCCATTTCATTGTTTAAATATGATTACACGGTACGGAGCGAAAAGATTTATTTTAGATACATAAATACATTTAAATGCAGTTTTTCTAATTATAACTTTTTTTTCCCCTGCAAGTTGCGTAATTCCAGCAAATTTAATTAACACATTTTGGAGATATGTTTCAGTGTGTTAATGCAAAGCAACACAAGAACTCTCTTAAGACCTGTAAATGCATGTTAACTGACTATTGTCAGGACAAACGTGGTGACTTTCTGGGCTTAATTACACTAAATGGAATCAGATGCTGTGAAGGGTGAGGCTGCATTGTTCAGAACCCAATCTCAACACTCAGAACTGAGGAAACTAAAAGATTTGACCCAGTTTGATGAGACTTACTTATGATTTAGAAGAGGAAAGCACAGAACACCTCTCTGCTGTACGAGGAATACTATTTTCAAATCAATCTTTTTAACCTCAATCCATATTTTGTTTGAATACATAGAAGCAAATACATCTATATGTAGCTATACTGTATCTGCCATTCCAGTTAGGGAATTCTGGTGGAATAAAATCAAAAAGCTAGAGATGCAAGAGTTATATTTGTGTCACCAGAAACCAGAGAGATATACAGAATTGCTATGAACTATTTTACTTTTACAACATTTATTTTGAAAGGACAAATAAAATTAGCTTTTTTCACTGTTGCACTATATAATACGTATTTCTATCCCTTGCTGGTTGTGCTTCAATTCCAGAGCTTACTATTACATGAACAAACTCAGGAAAAAAAATTAGAGGTCTTTGCTATTAATAACACTAATTCTGTTTACTAGGTAAATTTCAAAAAGCATTTTATTGCTTGAAAGACGTAAGATAATAATCCTTAATCACTCAATCTGTAAGTCAAAGAATTCTACGAAATTTCTAGGTGGGTAAAGCGAGGTGTTTTTACAACTTCACAGGATTAGTGAGAGTGAGGAATAAATCCAAAACATTCAAATCTTGTTAAATACAGAAAAAGAAGTCTTAGCATTTCTACAAAACTAGAGTATGAACAAATTATTTTGTACCCATCTTTCCCATACCTTTATAGGAAGAAGAAATGTTGGGTTTATTACAGCAAGACTGGAGAAACAGCCTATTAGAGCAAATGCCTTGTAGTTGTCTTTCTGAAGTTCCAGTTTCAGAGCAGAAAGCAACTAAACATGAGCTGTGATCAAATCATACCTAATGAATACCCAGCAGTATGTACATCCTAGTGGGATATGTAAGCAAGCAAAACTTGGCTGACAGAGTGGAATGTTTGGACCCTGACTGAGCACCTGAAAACACTACGTGAAGGGCTGGGGGAGTGTGTATGCTGCAAGAGGACCACAGGCACATGTAGGAGGGCAGATGGAGAAAAAGCATTAGATGTTAAAAAATGCCTCTGTTTTGGAGAAGAGAGCTCCATGGGTGGAGGTAGCAGGGGTACAAAGAAATATGGATGGTGAATGGTGCTGTTTAGACTAGTGAGGGCAGCTTTGCCATAAGGTGTGAGATGTGAAGGATAACACAATTAGTTCAGGGAGTTCCTCCCCAAAATGAACTGGGATGGTGTCCCAATGGCTGGATAAAAATGATGTGAGGAGCTGACCCTGGCTATCATTGCAGCTGTTCAAGCTAAACAGATTAAACATCAGTTCAATAAACAAAATTATTGCTCACCCTGCCCAACACTTCCCAAAGTGAGTTACAGGTCATATTAGCAGGACAGCTTTAAATTAGGCATATTACCCTGCACAAGATAAGGATATGGACTGGTCTAAAATATCACTGTTTGACTTTCGTGGTAGGATAGCCCTTACAGCAGGTACTACTTCTCCTTCAGAAATCTTTTAAAGCTCAGCGCAGCTGTAAGTTGGGTGTTAGGGAGTACCACACTTTTCACATGTGAAGCTGAATGGGAAAACCAATGCTTACCAATGCAACCCCATGCAGCACACAATGCACATGCTTTTTCCTATAGTTTGGATGGGGATGGGGAAGATGTGGACAGCATTGTCCTGGTCGCTGAGGTATGTGTAACTTCTGTATTCTTTGCAATAGGCCCAAGAATTTTCATGGGGAAAGGGCATCAATACAAAAAAACCAAACTAATGAGATGCAAATTTTTCATGTTGAAGTGATATGCACACACTGAGACCATATATAGGTAAAAACATATGTCAAGTTTCGCAAACACATCGAAGTTGTATTACTGGAAATAATTTCTGAAGGCTCAATCCCCATATTCTTGTGTAACGCATTCCCACAGCAGCTGTCACACCAACACCCAATGCACAGCTTGCAGCGTGAGCAGAGGAATACAGATCTGCTGATTATTTTTGTGCAAATGCTTTTGTTTTTCTTTAAACCAGTATGAAAACTTGCCGAGAAATTGAAAAGCAAAGTTGAGAAATCTCAGAGCAAAAACACCTCCAGAGGTTATTTATACACTGGATTTCAGTGGTTTCACAGGCACTTTCCAGAAACGACTCATGGACTTGAAAATACTGGTGGAATTTACCACCCTTCTTGTCAGAGGCAACCCAGTCATCTCACAAGCACAGGGATGCCAGACTATGACAGGTCTAGAAAGGGCTGTCAGCATGTTATGGGAGCTAAGATGTGAAAGGAGAAACGCGAAACTGCACAGAGGACCAAGGAAGAGCTGCAAGGCTGAATTCAGAAGAAACGGAGCTCACAACCCCTCCGTGGTTAAAATAGTTCACTATGAGTTCAGATGTCAACAGGTCCACATGAAATCTGTTTATGATTGCCTACAACATCACTAATGCAGCTATTTTGAACTATGCACAAAGCCTTCACCTCCCTGAAGCTAACAACAAAACTTGCATGCATGAAAGCAGGGCTAAGATTTCACCCATAACAATCATGTGAATAAAAGGTGCTTTTGTTACCCTTTTTATGTCTACTGTTCCCTTCTTTGTTACAATTCTATTCATTGGTAGGAGGGAAAAGCAATCCTGCTGGTATTCAGAAACATTATTTACAATTTCTGTATGAAGAGAAAGAGTAGGTCAGATTGTGGTACATATTTCAATTGATTTGGCCTGTTTTTCTATTTGCACAAGCTTCTTCAATAGTATTAATCATTCATGAGAGATTGCTAAACTCTTCTGAGGAACCATTTTCTAAAGACAGCTTATTTTCAACTACTTGCTTAGGTGCTGAACTTCTATCATGCAGTTGATTGTCTAAGGCCTCCAGTAGTATGATTTCTTACTGGTTAGAAGTTTAAACACCATATTGTTGAGTACCAACTAGATACTAATAAATAACTTATTTTCAGCCCAGTAAAAAACATTCAGCTTTTAAGACCAGGGAAGAAATTCATGAGTGCCCAGGAGCTGTCTGCATATTCACAAAGAATAGCTAAGCCTCAACAAATCAAGCAACCTGCATTTGGCATTTTCATTTGTACAAGTATTTCTGAACCCACATTTGTTTGTTTGTACTTTTGCTACCATTTGCCAGCTCTATAAACAAAAGATGTTTCCCAGTGCTAACACTCATTTTACTGTTTGCATTTCAATAGTATCTAAAAATCCCCAACACAGACCATAATACACTTCCTCCAGAAGCTGAGTGTTTGCTCACCATCCTGATATACATCTTAGTCTTCAGATTTTTTTACTATAAGTTAATTTATGCCAAAGAATGTTCATAAGCATTCACTAAATATACACATAACATTCAACCAGTTGTAACTGCTGAGTTTTTTAACTGCAGAAATCATGACTTACATTTGTAAATTATCAAAACATATTAAATATAAAAAATGTGAACAAGGTGATTATTAGTTCAATCTTCCTAAAGGAAAAGAGTTCCCTTTAAAATATGAAAACCAGCCTTCCAATCTAAAGATAAGGCTGCTTCTCTCTTTAATAAACACAATAAAATGGTGCAGGCATTTTTATTCCCTATAAAAATATTTTACAGTAGAATTTTATACTTAATTTATTTGTAATAGCTTTACTGTTTTGCTCTTCCTTCTGGCTTTAAACTTTATGGCAGGTTTCATTTTGTAATTATAATTCTCCACTTTACGTTACAAGTAAATCATCTAGAGCAGTTAATTTTACTGGTGTTGTCATTATATAAGAAGTCAGAAACAAACATATTATTTTAATTACTCTTTAAGCACTTGGCATTTTCGGCACATCAGGATGAAAGTAAGTTGTCGGATGGGTGCCCACACTATTTTATTTATCGATATGATTTTTCCCTTGTATGTAGCTGTAATATAACTAACCAAACAGTATGTGCTGTACAGATATGTGCTTGGTATTTTCAACAGTTCTGAACATCAATATCGAAGTGCACAAAGCAAACAAACATTATTAAGATTGCAGAAAGTATCATCCTGGTAGCATCTCGGATTTTATTACCACTGCTTGTTGTTCATTTCTCTTTTTAATACGCAAGTACTGTGTATTACACTTACACTAGTGGAGCAATCTTTCTCCCATCCTTTAACAAAGTACTTTCCAAATGGACTGATTTTGTATCATTATAGTAATTATTATTAGAAAGGCAGCAAAACCGTGTTCTTTCAATTCTTTTTGACTGGTCCATCAAATACCACAGCGACAAGGCAATAACAATTCAGAAGGCTGTGCTAGAGCAATAACAAAACTATAATACTTACATTTGCACATGTGGGGGCTGAAAACGTCCCTGGTTAATGTTGTAGAACGTGAAAGCCTGTGTGGGGTTGGAGCTGTACTCATCCACTTCAATTATGAGTCTACTGTGCTGATGCCTTCTGGCTGCCATGATGTGGGACTGGGCGAAAGCCATCCTTGCACCGTGGAGTTTGGCTTTTTCAGGCAATCATATCTGCTATCTTCCTGCATCGATGGAAGAAGACCATGACATCTCCTTACCTAATCAGCACACTCCCCTTCGAAAAACCTAAAAGCAGATTGAAGAGATGGAGCATAACTGTTTGACAGTTAATCTGCTTGGAATTTGCTTTATTTAATGTGATCAGATGAAGGGGAGATACAGAGGGATGAAGACAGACTGCTCAAAGAACTCATCACAAACCTTTCCAACTCAGCAACCTGATGAACGCACTTTAGTTGGGGGTGGGAAGCATGGAGTGGAAGTAAACTTGCTAAAGAACACAGTGGCAACTTGCTCAAATATTTCAGACATTGAATACAAACCTAAAAGACAAGACAGTCATTCAGAATGGTACATCAAATAATGTTTCTCCAACACAATCATTTACTTTCCCTTTTTATTGCACTGCTGAATGTTTATTCCCCACCCTCCCTCAAAGACACCCCACCAACCCTGAAACTGAATACACACACGACCGTGCACAACTAAAACAAAAGTCAATTAAACAAGAACTAGCGACGTGTTTTCTGGGGAAGTATTGCAAGAGGTTGTTCTTTACACCACAAAGAACAGAGCAAATGGCCTCCTGTGCACTTGCTCCTGGATTTTACAGTATCCCTGAAGGAACCCCTGATACAGATATGAGGAGCACCCCCCTTCAAACATTTTTCAGTCAGCACTAGCCCAACATTCTGTATTCACTGGAAAACAAAGTGATTCAAAGGCTAACACACAGTTAAATGTTACTAAATATTAAAAAAAAATTTAAATCCATACAGGTTTTATGTTTGGGAATAAATTTTTCCCTGAAGGTTATACAAGTCTAGAAGAGCTGCACTGAAAATGAGTTGAGGAAGAGCAAAGTGAAACCAACTGGAATGCAAAGAGTATCCCCTAGAAACAGCAGAAAGTAATTTAAATGTGAATTTTACTTTTATTTCCCAGTTTTAATAAAAAATGGATTATAAGCTATGAAGGTGGGTATTTTTATAGTATAATTTTGCATCCTTTTTAAAAGTTGTCTGACTTAAATATTTACTTTCATGCAAGCAAGGGCTCTTTTCTTCTAGGGAATACAAGTAATCTGCTTCAGAAGACATATTTCATGAAAAGCCTTGCTAGAATGCAGCAATTCACTTAATATGTGCAGCCTCTGGAAAGAAGGACTACAGGTATTTTATGCGACCTTGCTGATGTGCCTTACTTCCATTCTGAAGGGACCACTGCCAAGAGTGATGGATGAGGGAGGCCTTCATAGTCACTCGAATTTTTAAAGCTATTTGCAGGTACTTACGTCCAATTCAGTTTAGTGGCAGTCAAGCACCTAAGCATCTTTAAAAATCTGGGCTTCAGTCCTTTGCTTAACTACTACAGATGTGAAGTGCTCCAAGAAGTGGCTGCATTTTTGTTTGGGGAAATCTTGTTCTCAGGAAGCTGAAAATGAGAGATTCAGCTCAGTTTAGTTACTGGCTGAATGGCTGTAAGATGATGACAACTTGCTGTCACTAACAAGCCACAGCAAAGCAGCCTGAGAATAAAGGAGCAGATTCCTTCATGCCCTCCCCTAGAATTGAGTAGTAAGGAAATGCTAGAATAACAACAAAGAAAATTTTGGATTTCAAACACTCTCAGATGCTGCGTTCAGGCTACGGAACAAGCAGCAGCACAAAGGAATGTGCCAGAGCAGGGGGAGGGAAGGGAGGCACGATCCTTGTAAGAATAATCAAGTACAAATTGCTGCATTTAGGAAATAAGAAATTATGACAGCAGATGTGAAGAACCCTCCCTGAGGAGCTTCCTGTATTAAATGATGCATTTGTAAAGAAGTTTGAATAGTCAAGGTCAGAGATTTTATAGGGGGCAAACTGTTCTAAGTGAACCTACTTCTGTTTGAAAGAAACTATTAGAACTGGTGACCTCTAGAAATATTCTCCAGTAAGATAAATAATTTATGATTCCACAGCTCTACATAATGATTCCAAACTACCTGAAAAGCACAGCCTTTGTTTTATAATTCAGGGACTATGCCCACTTTATACACAACAGAACTGCAGTTACAAAGGAGTCAAGGCACTGCCTTAGGGACCTAGAATCTCCCTTTGGCCTCACCAAGTTCTCAAGGAGTTCACAGCCCCTGAGAAAACAGCTTCAGTCAGCCTCCTCCTTGGGTTCTGTCTTTACAACTTACAACAAGTTATACAGCAAATCTGCTGCAAAACCAGCAGATATATACGTCTGTACCCCAACATCCACTCTTCAGCTCTCCAGCTAAGTGGAAAATAGCTCTTACCAACACAAATTAACTCAAAAGAAACATTTGTTTGCAAACAGAAACAAACCACAGTCAGTGCACCACTCGATACACCCTTTAGTGCCAGAGTTCTTTTAAGCAGCAAATCAATCCCTGCACATGGGAAAGTGTGTGAATCACACCATTAGGCCAGCCTGAGAGGATGCTAGCCACAGACACTCAGAAGTTCACCATATAAACAGGAAAAAACTGGAAGACAGCATATTTCACTTGAGGTAAGGAAAAAAAAAGGGTAAAAAAAAGAGGGTAAATGGCAGTTACCCACCATCTACCCTGAACACATAAAAGAAGAGAGAAGAGAGAGGAAAGAAGAGAGAGGAGAGAAGAGACAGGAGAGAGAAGAGAGAGAAGAGAGGAGAGAGAAGAGAGAGAAGAGAGAGAAGAGAGAAGAGAGAAGAGAGAGAAGAGAGAGAAGAGAAAAGAGAGAAAAGAGAGAAAAGAGAGAGGAGAGAAGAGAGAAGAGAGGAGAATAGAGAGGAGAGAAGAGAGAAGAGAGGAGAATAGAGAGGAGAGAAGAGAGAAGAGAGGAGAATAGAGAGGAGAGAAGAGAGAAGAGAGGAGAGATCCTGCAATAAGAATAAAATAAATAGTAATCATACAAAGAGCCTGTGCTAAACGGAAATCAGATATGTAACACACATAATCAGTAAGCATAATTCAATAGCAAGATAATTCAAGCTCATTTCAGAAACATACACAGATGTCTTTGAACCTTACCTTTCAGTCTACAGTTTTCTTCCTGCATAAGTGATTGGCTGACTACAAACATACTTGGTGTTCGACAGAACAAGCTGTCTCTTTCCAGCTTGACTGATAACCAGACTGACACCCATTACTCCCCTCTTTCTGCTTCCATTTCCAATAGTCCCCCAAATCGTAACTTTTCTTTCTTTTAATATTCTGAAATGTATTCCTTTTCCAAACTGGAGTATAAAATGCAGCAGGGAAATAATTATCTGCTTCTCTAGCATGCGAGTTTTAAAATTATATGCCCAGCATTACCAACACAGAGAGTTAAGACTCAAATTCCCACAGCAACAACATGCTAACCATCCTCTTCCCCCAGACTTATGGAGCTGCGGGATGTCTGCCAGGGAAAAACAGAGAAATGTAAAAAGGACTGCAAGAACATGAATACTAAAATAAATATCACAAACCTGGCTGTTGGAATCACAGACTGAGAAAAAGCTATTAAATCAGCTAAGCCATCTTCTTACTGATGGCAGGAATGTTCTCCATACATTATTTTTCTGCTGCTTTCTCCAGCATGTGTTCAAACGGGCCTCAAAGCCCACTGTGCACAATGGACACTGCTCCAGAGTCTTCAGGAGACTTTGCATCAGGCCATAAACTATGTGGATTGAAACATCTCCTCAGGAATTACTGGTCTAGGCAGGTGCTTGAACCTAGACATCTATTTAAGTCCTTTGACAAGGTCCTCAAATAAATCTTCATATTAAGATTTGTTTTCTTGCTTTCTCAGCCTGAAATTTCGAGTATTTTCATTTTACATCCTTCTTGTATAGCTAGCATAATTATTTCCCTGTTCTACATGAATTTTCCAGCCTTTTTATGTATCCTATTTGTCTTTTTTTGCATTTCAAGCCAACATTTTATTTTAATCTCACTTCTCCACTCAGATTTTGCTTTGTTCTAGGTTCATCCTTCAGCTGATTCTCATGTCCATTATCTCTCACCATCTCATTCCACTGTCCCCACACTTCTCTCCATCATCTATCCTCTGTCTCAAGTCTAAAAACACCACTGAGACTTCTTGAAAATTATTCCAGCAACGCACGATATGAATCTAGACTTGAAATCAACACAGCTCAAGCAGATGTCACTGAAATAATAATTAGAAACCAAGATAAAATATTGATGATGATAATAAAAAAAAGTCATAAATTAAGAGAGAAAACTATGAAGGTGTTCTCTGATGAGCAATGAACTTTGCTACTTTACAAAGCATCTGTAGGTCAATAAGCACAATGTTACTGTAGTACACTCCAGCAAGAGCTTAGGGGCAGTTGCCAGATTTTGCACTAACAGTGAGACAGCAGAAAGAAGGAAGAGGATGCTGCAACTCTCAAAAGTACCACGATCAGTGGCAAAGTGGTAGCTACAGAAAACGTGTTAGTTTTGCTCAGACAGTCTGACAAGCTGGGATTTGGGGAGGCAATGAAGAAACAAAATGTAGTATCAAAAAAAAAAAAAAAAAAAAGGCATTTTCATGCAGCTATAAAACATCACAGCCATATTTTTTTCAGGAAAAGCCAGTAAGACAATAGCAGTAAAATACCTTAAAGATGAGCATGAGGTTGTGATAGATCATATGGTGACACACTTGCTTCTTGTGCACATCTTGGACACTGTTAATGTGAAACCCTTCCAAGAGCTTTAACAAGACCTATACTACAGTGCTCTTCACTAACTGTCAGATCATCCTTTAGACAAGGAAGGAGACCCTACATTTAAACCCAGAAAGCACTACAGAGTATTCTGCAGCAATGGTCTCAATCGTCATAGTAACATTTCTATAACCACGAGTGATTAGATTTTTGTTTTAACCCCCAATAGTCAGAAAACTGACAAGCAGTAAGCAAACATACTGAAACTAGTAAAGAATTACTTACTATGAGAAAAGGCTGAAAATGCTAAGGGGTTTTGCTGTCCAAAATACCCATTTCAGATACTTCAGATAGAGTCCAGTCAATGGAATTAGTCTGCTATCTTCAGTTCTGCCACTGGGAAATGA